TCTCTCTTACACACACACACACCCTCTTTCTCTGTGTGTGTGTGTGTGTGTGTGTGTTTTGGGGGAAATGAGCGTGTATATGAGCAGATGAGACCGTGAGAAGGCTGAGTGTGTTGCTGAGGTGCTCGCTGCTATGATTAATCAGGGATGTCCTTTATTGTTGGTGTTTATTAATAATCTATAGACTCGTTAAAGAGTTGTGAGACACACACACACACACACACACACACACACACACACACACACACACACACACACAGAAGAGCTCTGCTTTACACCTGTATAGCTCAGCCAGTTCAGCCAGCATTACTCTCTCTCCCTCTAGTAAACCTTTATGAGTTTCTTTCTTCTCTTCAACACAGATGAAGATACTTTGAAGAATGCTGGACACCTGTAGGCATTGAGCACCACAGTAGGAAACACACATGCTGAAGTCAGCGGTGTCCAGCAGTGTTCATCAGAATACAGAAGCTCGTGGATGATGACGGCTGTTTATGTGTGGGTGAGCTGTGCCTTTAAATAGCGTCTCTCTCTCTCTCTCTGTCTTCCAGTAATAATGACTGGTCAGAGTGTCGGAGAATCCGCCCTGGACTGCTCCACACCCTGCTCTGCCGAACACACGCGCCCGCTGACGTCACTCCCGCCTGCGCAGACGCGCTCCTGATATGATAGTTCAGAACAGCAGCGCTGCAGCAGAGAGCGTTAAACACCTGTGGAGAGTTCTGTACTGTCAGTAAACTGCGCTCTGTGTGTGTGTGTGTGTGTGTGTGTGTGTGTGTGTGTGTGTGTGTGTGTGTGTGTGTGTGTGTGTGTGTGTGTGTGTGTGTGTGTGTGTCGCGATACAGAGAGCTCTCACTGGGGTATGAAGCGCTGGCCGGAAGTGTGTGACCCCAGCTGGTTTTTCGTGCCGCGGTGGGCGGAAGTGGAGAGTTAGTCATTCCCGAAACCGCGCGAATTCAGCAGCCTGAAGACATCGCTTCCCTCAGCAGATACACGACGATATAAATCACATCTAGAGGCTGCTCAGGTTATCTTCTGAGAGTGCTGTCGAACGAGGAGTTCAATAGTGTGTGTCTGAGTACACGAACAGAGCTCTTCCCCTCCCACACACACACACTGATACAACAGTGTAGTGGATACAGTACATATAATAGAGGAACAGATGTAATGCACTGCTGATCATCCGCCTGTTCGACCACCGCTCAGCTCTTCACTAAACACAGCAGGGATGTTAGAAATGACTGAGCACTCTTGATGAACACTAAACACTGATATAAGTTTACGGTTAGAGGTTAGGGACGTTCCCATTGGCCAGCAGCTCTGAGACTGAGTGTGTGTCATTGGGTTTTCAGCTTTGCTTGAGTGTGTGTGTGTGTGTGTGTGTGTGTGTGTATACAGAGGATTCCCCTCCAACTTTTACTTTCACAATGACCCAGACAGCCGTTCCTGCTGCTTTACTGGAAGTGTTGTGGGTCTTTATGGGAAAGGCCTCAGACGTGGATGACTGAAGTCTTCATGAGCCGTGTGTGTGTGTGTGTGATATTACAGTAATACAGTCATTTCTCAGATGCTGGGAAACCCATTCTGTTCTGCTTCCCCAGTGAGCATAGATCAGTGTTAGATTTGGGTCGTTTAGTTTCCCCCTGGAGTGATGTCAGTTCGCGCTCACAGATGTAAATATCCAATACTGATGCTCTGATTTACGGTATGGAGGAGTTGTGTCATGAACCAGACAGGCGCATTCAGAAACCTACTCTTTATTGTTGATAAAAAAGAAAACAATGAACAGCATTTGAAGACTGTGTTATTATGTAGAGCAAATACACCAGCTGGTACAGCGCGAGGCCAGCCGCCCCGCAGTCACACGTCCGACACGTCCTTCAGAAATAAACAGTAAACGAGGCTCCCGAACTGCCGTCAGCATCTGACACCGATACACATCGATATACGGCGACACGTAAACCTCACACTAGTGTGAGTCTGATTGAACTGAGCACTCGGAGTCGTCCTGTACACACAATGTAAACTCTCAGTACATGTTCATATGACTAAAGAAATAAGTAAAGCCGAACACAGAGCGAAGAAGAGGAGCGCACGATACACAACAAACCCAGGAGCCACCTTCACTCGAAGCCAAAACTGCAGCACAAGGAGGACGAATGAGCGCACACACCAACAACACGGACACGCTAAAGAAAACACCAGCACACTGCTCAGTCCAAGCACTTCAATAAATAACCTATCGGGAATGATCAAGAGCAATACAGTAGGTACTGTACACACACACACACACACAAAACGTCTGAAACAATTGTGTACAAAAATACAATATGTTCATGACATCAAAAACCTTATTCAAGTGTCAAAAAATAAATATCCTCTTGTTGCACAGGGTTATTGACAACTCTCCAGCCGGTTCATCCTCTACTGATCATCTGCAGACGGACATCACACCGTATATAAATAAAGTCATCTTCTGTAAGAAAGATATCGAACAGCACTGTGTGTAGCGACGCTGACAGGACTGCAGGATTCTCCAACACACACACACACACACACACACACACACACACACACTGCGATCATTATTAGTCTGCTCTCTGGTTTATTCCTGTGTGTCTGCTGAACACAGAGCTGTAGTTATAGTCCAGGCCGTCCTGCTGTACGCGGAGGATCAATATTACACATCATTAATGTTTCTGGCTGCCGTGCAGTCGTGTAGTTTCCAGAAGGTAGCGTGTCTGCGAGACACTAGTATTCGACAGTACCCTTCCTCTCCTCTCTAACAACATAAATACAAATTCTGTATAAATAAAACTGCTTAATAATCGATACAAAAAATAAAACAGGCAAAAGAATGTAAAGTACCATTGATCAAAGCCCTTTAGTTCTGGTTTCAGGTTTAACTCTTGTGCTCAATCCTGTCTGCAGCTTCCCCACACCATCACCCGGGTTAACCCATCCTCATCGGATCATGGCGAGAGCGCACCGCTATTCAGAGGCATCTCCGCTGGGAGATTACAGTGCAAAAGGTCTCGGAATGCTCAGGAGTTTCCCAAATCCAGAAGGTTTCAGTTAAAGCGTCGCACAGAACCGTCCTCCTCCTCCTCCGCCGCCGCCGTGTGTGTGTGACGCTTCACACCGAACAGTCCTGTATTTCTCCTGGAGAAGTCTCGGTTTGTATCAAATATTTTTCTCATAATCACAAATTGCACAATATCAAACCAGCCGACACACACACACACACACACACACACACACACACACACACACACAAACGATCCGCGGTGGTGCTGATAGTGAGGGACTGAGCCCAGCGCAGAAGCGTCTCCGTAAAGGGATTGTTCTGGTCCACATCTGCAGGAGCTGCTTTGGAAAACCTTTGCATAATAGTGCACGATCAACACAAACACGAACACAGACCCCGACAACATATAAAGATCATCCAGCGGGAAATAAACGCAGTCTCTGGGAAACACAGCTCTCGTCTGCCTCCTCTTGAAGGGAACAGTAAGATGCCCTGTGCGGAGCGTGCAGAAGTCCTCCTCCTCCTCAGCGCCGAAACAAAGAGTAAAATCCAAGTGCATTGAGTCTGGTTCCCTTTATAATCCTCCAGCTGCAGAGAGTGTGTGTGTGTGTGTGTGTGTGTGTGCGTGTGTGTGTGTGTGTGTGTGTACACACTCCGCATGTGCAAGTTTTAAGGAGCACAGATGATGGAGGTGATGTATAGGTAATCAACAGGTGATGGTGATGGAGGTGTTCCTCCTCCCAGAGAGAGAGAGAGAGAGAGAGAGAGCTCCAGGTCTGGGTAGAGACTCCACTCCTCAGCAGCCGCTGTCTCCACCCTTGCCCATGCTGGCGGAGCTGACGGAGATCTGGCACCCGCTGGTGACGTGGTTCATCACCTTCTGCTTGAGCTGCGCCACCTGCTCCCTCAGGATGCCGGCGGTGGAGGCCAGGTCGGAGTTCTGCGTCTTCAGCACCTTCACCTTCTCCTCCAGCCGAGAGATGCGCTCCAGTTTGCGCTTGCGGCACTTGGATGCGGCGATGCGGTTCCGCAGCTTCTTACGCTCCGCCTTGATGCGCTCCTGCGTCTCTAGGTCAATAGGTGAGAGTGCTGGTGGAGAGCTGCAGGGGTCCCCAGGGGGGTGCGGCACCTCGGGCACCGTCTGTGGTGCGTCTGGCCCGCGGCTCTGAGGGTGGAGCCCTGTGGCGTGGGCGGAGGTGTGCGGGTACAGCTGCCCGGCGGGATACGGGGATGGGGTGTAGCTGCTCAGAGTGGTGTATATGGGCATGTCCGCGCTAGGCATCAGGCTGCGCTGGTATGAGCTCTGCAGGGGTGCGGGCGTAGGCGAGGGCGGCGCCAATAGCTGGTTCTGCTTGTGCAGGTCGGCCAGAGCCTTGACGAACCCGTCCGCGAAACCCTCCTGCTCGTTGGTGGCCTGGTTGCGGTAGAGGAAAGGGTTGGCGGATCCGCCGGGAGCCGGACTCGTAGTGACCAGCCCCTGGTTGGACTGGATGATCAGGTGCTCCAGATCAGGCGAGGACAGCTTCAGCAGGTTGATGTCTGCTGTGGGCATGAGGGATCCGGTGCTGGAGCTCATGCCCACACCGCTGCTGCCCCCCACACCGCTGCCCGCCGGCCCCTGCAGCAGCTTCAGACCCGCACCGCCTCCGCCCGGGAAACTGTGCCCCGCGCTGCTCTTCTTCATCATCTTGTGGCTCTGGTATCGATCATACTCTGGAACCTGCCCAAAGTTTGGAACGCTTTCATCGTGGTAGAAGGGCGTTTCCATCTTACCCGTCATTGAAACCGAAAGGCAGAATCCTCATAATACGCTGAATTACCCGCGCTGTGGGTTCACTGCCATCCGCTCCACTGGCAGAAGAAGATCCTCAGATTAACCCTACAGACAGGAGAAACAGACGAGCAGCGTCAACTACTGTGACTAAAGTTGCTGGATGGAGAAGCAGCAGCGGTGTGTGTGTGTGTGTATGTG